CACAAGCTTCACTTCTACACTGTAAGAATATGCTTTGCTTTAGATCTTTGACTACACAGATCATCTCAATGCTTACAAATGAAAAGACATGATATGGCTTGAAAATGTGTATTTTTAGATGAAATAAAGGTATTTTGAAGCTAGAAGATTTTAAACTTGCAACTGGAAGGTTTCTTATGAGAAAACAGAATGCATCCAAAAAAGTTTGTCTGTAGAATAGTCAGAATGATTATCTCTGCTTTGCAGAGTTAAGAGCATATTCAATCAATGGAAGGAAAATGCTAAATGTTTGAGGAAAGGCCAATACTAACAGGTAATATTTATTGAGCATTTACTATGCACATTTGCTGTTTCCAACAACTCATGAGGTGGGTATTATTTTCCCTGTTTAATACATTAAGGCAGTTGAGGTTTAGTGATACTAAACAACTCACATAGTAATGGGATTTGTCGGTACGTCAGGATAACTAAGAACTTGGCATCTGACCCCAGGGCCCACGTATTCTTCCAAGTACTACACTGCATTGTCTTCCTACAGATTAAAAAGGGAAACATCTTAATTTCCAATTGTTTAATGAAATGACAGGTGATTGCTCCGCGTGGGAGTCAATAAAGTATGTACAGTGCAACAGACTCTCTTCTACTCTTCCCTTCCTCTTTATGATTTCCAGAACAGGCCTTTTTGTCGTTGGCTAAGCATAGGAGGAACCTAGAATCTCCACCTATTTTATTTTCTTCTTCAGCATCATGAGGTGGGTATTATTTTCCCTGTTTAATACATTAAGGCAGTTGAGGTTTAGTGATACTAAACAACTCACATAGTAATGGGATTTGTCGGTATGTCAGGATAACTAAGAACTTGGCATCTGACCCCAGGGCCCACGTATTCTTCCAAGTACTACATTGCATTGTCTTCCTACAGATTAAAAAGGGAAACATCTTAATTTTCAATTGTTTAATGAAATGACAGGTGATTGCTCCGCGTGGGAGTCAATAAAGTATGTACAGTGCAACAGACTCTCTTCTAGTCTTTCCTTCCTCTTTATGATTTCCAGAACAGGCCTTTTTGTCGTTGGCTAAGCATAGGAGGAACCTAGAATCTCCACCTATTTTATTTTCTTCTTCAGCTAGAGCCAAAAGCTGCTTCCCCGCTCAGGCCTGCCCCAGCTATGAAAATCCACCTACACTCTCACACAGCAAGGCATGTGTGGTCTCTGGAGAGGCCTCACAGACTTGATGAGTACGGAAAAGCACTGTGCCTTACAGCCAGGAGGTGCCAGGAAACATTCCACAGGGAAGTCTGGAGTCACAGGACCATTGAGAGACATGACACCCACTGAGGGAAGTACAGAGCTTTTCCACCCTCAGTTAGTATAAGTGTGGATGAATCATCTGGTAAATATGAATGTAGCATGTGTGAGATCTCAATTCTCCTCATCTGTGTCAGTCATTGTCTTTGAAAATGGGCTAATGACACTCTTTCTTGCTGCCCAGCCATTTTTCGGTCATTTCTCAACAATTTAATACTGTGTAAGGGGTTTTGAGAAAGTAAATCAGACTTCAATCCATCAAAGGTGATGACATCCTAAGAAAGAATTGAAGTGGTTGGAGGATAAACATGCCCTATCAGTGCAGGAACTCTGTGTGTCTTGTTAACTGTCAGTGGCCCATGAATACGTGTCAGAAAAGGGAAAAGGAAGGAGGGGAAGGAGGAGATGACACTATTGCTCCCACTGGAAAAGTGCCAATTGATCCTCACCTAACACTTGAGCTCCTGCTTGTTCTCAAGATCTAATTATACCTTTGGTGGGAGAGATTTACATTTGTCAAGCATCAACAGAGCATTGAGTTGATTTGCTGTCAATTTCTTTTGATGATGTATTTACAGTCAGGAATGAGAATGATTGTATTATCAGTTATCTACTGCCACAGATTAGCCTCCCAGAAACAACGCAACTTAACAGCAATCACTTATTTGCTCAAAATTCTGTAATTTGGTCAGGATTCATTGGGGACAGTTTGTCTCTGCTCCATATAGCCTCAGCTGGGGCAGCTCCACTGTGGATGGACAGTCCACTTCCAAGATGACTCACTTGCAAGGCTGTCAAGTTAGTGCTGGCTGTAAGCTGGGATCTCAACTAAGGCTGTCGGCCAGAAGCCTCATTCCTCTCCTCCCGAAGCCTGTCCTCATGGCTTCTTGGGCTTTTTCACAACATGGCAGCTGGTTCCAAGAGCAAGTATTCCGAAAAAACAAACCCAAGTATGTTAGCACTTATCAAGCTTCCACTTGCATTATATTTGCTAATGTCCCATTGTCCAAAGATGGTTCCTTGACTGAGTCCAGGGTCAGCATGGTCAGTTTCATGGCCAAGTCCAGAACCAGGAATCCTGGTTCACTCTTGACCACCAAAGAAACAGTTTACCATACAGTTTGATCATTTTTGTTTCCACTAGTAGAGAAAAATGGAAAATTGGTATTAACTGTCCACTTCTACATTTTTATTAGCCAGAAACTTAATACCAATATTTCCTAAGTTTTCAATTGGCTTAGGAAAGCTGTCAAAGAAACAATTCTATGAGAGAAAAAAAATTACATTCTATGGGTATATAAAATCAGGAGAATAGAAGTTCTTATTTAACAAACTATCCTGGAACCGCAGGCAAAGAAGAGGTACACATATGATCGAAAAAGTGAAAGTGAAAGTAAAAATTGCTCAGTCATGTCTGACTCCTTGTGAGGCCATGGACTGTAACCCACCAGGCTCCTCTGTCCGTGGAATTCTCCAGAGTGGTAGCCATTCCCTTCTCCAGGGGATCTTCCTGACCCAGGGATTGAACTGGGATCTCCTACATTGCAGGTGGATTCTTTACCAGCTGAGCTACCAGGGAACCCGTACATATGATTAGGGGATTAGGGGATGATTATGTTATAGATGAAAATCAAGACATGCTGGTTGGCAAAAAGCATATACAGACATAAAGCACACATAAATGTCCTAAGAGAGGAAATTTCACAAGTTAATGATGGTTCATGAAGAAATAATAAATATTTTTCAGATATAGTCAGAAGAAAAGCAAGAAAATAGTTCAATTATGTAAGAAGCAATATTTCAACTGTATTTCAAAGGGTTGTTAATTTGACATTTCATGTTCTTACAAAATTGTTAAAATAGTGAGATGACTAATNAGAGGCACAAAATGAGGACATCTGTAAGGACTGCAGGGTTCTGGACCAGATTGCCAGGAAGGGGAACTGATTTTTAAAAAACAGGCTAGAAGAATCTTTCTCCAGTGTTGCCCAAGAACAGATTTATACTCAATCATCAACAGCAAAACTGGCCTCATTTCTGAGGCACTAATTATGCACAGAATCCAGTGAGATTCAGAGACTAGGCCAGAAGGGTCAACCCCCTGGCTCCGCATCCCCATGTTTTGTTTACAGAGGATTCTTCTAGTGTAACACTGAGTAGTTGCTAATGGTAATGTGCTCTCAGGAGACTACCCAGGGTCCTGGAAGGAATTCAGTTTTGGGATTCAAGCAGATCTAGGTTGAAACTCCATCTCTGGCACTTTATCCATTGGTAAATTCTTAATTCTTAGTTTTTCAGGAGCTTTGCTTTCTCCACTCTTGGATGAGGATAATGCTTACTTTACAATGTCATGAGAATCAAATGATCAAATGAGATGATAATGTAAAACTCCTCGTCCATGGTAGGTATTTAGCAAATCTTAGTTTCTCTGTCTTCCTATAACTGGGCAGGACTATTGGAATGAGAAGGATAGAAATGAATGTTTAGTTGGAAGCATGAATGAGGAACTATACAAGTTTTATAGCTAAATTTCAACTTTTCAAATATAAGCAGTATATAAAAACTACCCTCAAGTTCAACCAATCTTCAACTGATAATTCTAGGAGGCTCAGTTCCTATTTACTGAGGTCTTTTGCATTTCTCAAGTGCTTTCTGAATGCCAAGTTCTTTGCTGGGCCCTTTACGTTCTAATACAACATGGTATTGGCTCAATTTTATAATTAAAGAAACTGAGCCTTGGAAGCTTGTGGACTTGCTAATCATGACACATGGCACAGAGTGTTCAATAAATTATTAGTACTGCTGCTTTCATGATGATAATAAGTACAGGGAAAATATGTTTTCTAAGGCCATTTCATGAAATAGAATTATGTATAACAGTGGACCCTTAATTCAGTGAATAATGTAGGGGACTTATTGTACATCTTAAGTGAATTTCTGAGAGTACAGAAAAAGTTCTCTCTGCTCCTGACACCAGTAAGTCTTGAGTGTCACTTAACTTATGCTGTTTCCCAGCTTGTGCCAGCATGCCCCCTCTGTGCCTACAAACAGCTCTCCATTCATTTCGGGTGTGCAGGTAGGAACAGAGCAGCTCTGACTCATCGTTAGGCAGTTCCAACCTGGTGCAATTTGCCTTTCTTCACCCTGTCACCAAGTTAATGGGCTGTATTAACAGCGATATTTATAGACAACAAGTTGAGCTCCAAGCTGCAGCCATGCCCGTGCATTTGGGAAGGCCCCCATTCACTGTGGCCCTCACACTTGCAGTACTGCCACTTTCTGGTGGCCTTAATCCCAGTGTGCTTGCCAGATAGTACATGTCTTTCTCTCCCTTTCGTGTAAGAAATTTTTGGCTACGGTGATTGAAGAAAGGGTAATAAAAGAATGTATATATTGTTCTTGATGTTTTACAGTTATTATGTCCTGTCACAGAATAAAATAAATGATTCCTATGGCCTACAGCATTCTTCATGATCAGACCCTACCCCCAACACACACACACATGCCCATGTCTCTTTCCGTTGGTCACCTGGCTCTTGGCACTGTGGCCTCTTCTTGCTCCTGGAAGACACTTAGCACTGTCTACCTCAGGACCTTTGCACTTGTTTCCCAGATGCCTGGAACTCTCTTCCTTTACCTAGCCTTGTGACTGACTCCTTCTCTTAGTCCCAGTCTCTGCTTAGATGTTAGCTAAATAAAGAAAGCTTCCCTGTCATCCTATTCCAAATAGCACCTCTAGTCACTTTTTTATCTTTTATCCTTCTTTATGTTCCTTCTTAGCACTCAGCTATATATGTTGTTTGCTTGCTTGTTAACTTGTTCTCAGTCTATACACACACACACATGCAGAAGTTCCATGAGGGTAGGGTTTTATCGACCTTGTTCATTGCTCCATGTAGCCCCAGTGCCTAGAACAAAGCCAGACCCATAATAAGTACACTATAAACAGTGGTTGAATAAATGATTGTATGTGAAGTTAGACTAACTTTTAAGGTGTGATAAATATCCCTAAAAGTCCTATATATCCATTGTCAGCTGGCCTCACAGAAAGTTACAAGCAATAGTTTCAGTTTTTGTCTAGAATTTATTGTGAAAGGAGTAGCCTCTAAAAAACGCTCCTTCCTTTAATATGAAAGGAAAGAATTTGACACAGGTAAGAACACAGAAAGAGAGAGAAAGAAGGAGGTCAAAAGATCTAGTTACCAGTCATAACAATACAACCAATTCAATTCAAAGAGTAGATAAAACTACTGCTGCTTGTGAACAATATTTGGACCCTAAACTTAAACAGAAACATATTTCAAAGAGGGCTTAATTTTCATGGCACAATGTTTCATAAATCATTACAAACAGAATGAAAAATACACTTGGTGTCCAGAAAAGCGAAGTTCTCATCTAATGTTTTATGCTGGAGGAAGTAGAGCTCACAGTTCACCTGAGGTCTTTACAAGTCAATGGAAAACGTCAAGGACTGGAACTTAGCTGTTCCCTCTGGCTGACTTTTCCCAAAAGTACACGTTTCCTCCGATCCCTTCCCCTTCAGCTTTTATGTTAACAAATCAGCTTCTCTTTTTATATTAACAAAATACCAACTCTTTGTCCTCTCCCTTTTCCAAAGGAAAATCCATATTTATTTTAGAAACCAAGCCAGCATTTCTCAAACTGCATTCTAGATAATTCTAGATAATATGCAAAGTATTTACATATATTCCTCAAATCTTATACACACACACACATATATATGTATATATTTGAGTAAGTTTAGGAAACTAATGATCTCTCTCTCTCTCCTACTGGTATGCAGGACACTAATAACTCTGAGAAGTCAGGCAATAAAGAAATTGTCTATCTTTGTTTAGCTAACTACTTCTAGAACTTATTTGACGAAAAAACATTATTTTTTTTGAGACATTTCTCATAGGCACAATTGAGGAGATAAATAGTTCTTTATCCATACACATACAAGATAGATACACAGGCATTTATAAAACATTTATTATATTAATAAATGGAGAGAAATGTACAGAAAGAAGATTCCATGTCATAAGCACACATGTATATTGTTAGAAGTCCTACCATCTAGTCCTACTAACTAGTCTGGAGGAACAGACAAGTTAGAGTAAACCAAGAGTGTGTGCAAAGTTCAAGTTGCAGTTAGCTGACAGAAAGGAAAATAGGGGAGCAGGAATAGCAGGTACACTATTTAATTTTCTGCCCTGCATCTCTTTTCTAGAAACTGCTTCAACTGACTCGCTGATGACACCCAAATAGTCATGGCAGAAAATGTCATGTCTCTGTACTCTGGAGTCTTCACCCTTACAACTGTAATCAACTGGTACATATTAGGGCTAGAGTTAAGTCTACTAAAACTAGCCAACTAGCTCCTTTCCTAGGAATTTTGGATCCATGACTGAAGGATCATATGGAAAAGAGTGGCATTGACAGAGAAGCTGAGATAGGGATTGGTGAAGAAGAGGAATTCCCAAAGAGCCCTGCGCCTGAGTCTCTCACTGAGGTCCAGTCCCTTCCCACCCTTGGAGTCCATGAGATATCCCCCTAAACTGCCAAGAAATCTCCTTTCTCCATTGTCCTGCTTTTTTGCTAGAATTGATTTCTGCTCTTTGCAGACTGATTAACACACCAAGGCAAGAGGGACATAGTAAATGAGTCAAAGGCAACAGGGAGCAAACACTAGAATACAGAGCCCACTCATTTGTCATTTTCCATCCCCCAGACTCACCATTTATCCCTCTCTGTAATTTTGATGGGGAAAAGGTCCAGTTTACACAGAAGGAAGAGATAACTGATTTTGTAGCACAAGATTCCAAGGCATCTAGAGTTTCATTAGTCTGTCAAACCTGATTACTTTTAAGAAAAGCTTTTAAATTGTCCCGTGTTTTCCATAAGTTGT